GAAAAGGGGGAGGGGAAGGGGATTCTGAAATAAATAGGGAGAGAGGGGGAGGCGGATAGAAGATGGATAAAGGAGAAGATAGGTGGAGAGGAGACAGACAGGTCAAAGAGGCGGAGTTGGAGCCAGTAAAGGTGAATGTAGATGGGGAGTTAGGGAGGGGATAGGTCGGTCCAGGGAGGACGGACAGGTCAAGGAGGCAGGATGAGGTTAGTGGGTAGGAGATGGGGGTGGGGCTTGAGGTGGGAGGAATGGTTAGGGAAGCGGGGACGAGCTGGGCTGGTTTTGGGATGCGGTCGGGGGAGGGGAGATTTTGAAGCTTGTGAAGTCCATGTTGATACCCTTGGGCTGCAGGGTTCCCAAGCAAAATATGAGATGCTGTTCCTGCACTACTTTTGGACAGACATGTTTCCTAACAAAGTGGGGAAGAGAAAAAGAGAAAATACACGCCTGAAAATTTCTCATAAGTTCTTATGCAACCAAAAAATAGACCTGCATGTTATTCTCAGTTGTGCATTGACAGTCAGGAGTGAGAACTAGTGACCATAATCTGGCTAATCCATTGATAGGCCAATTAGGATTTTAGCTTCCTAAACCTTACATATGCTTCTTTTTTACCTTTTGACTAAATTCATAACCTCCCTCATTATCCATGGGTCCCTTACCTTGCCCATCCTCCTTCTGGAACATGCCGGTCCTGAACTCTCAGCAGGTCTTTAAACAATTCCCACATGTCAAATGCAGACTTGCCAGATAACAGCTCCTCCCAATTTATATCCCTACCTCCTACCTAATACTGTCGTAATTTGCCCTTCCCCAATTTAGCATCTTCCCGCAAGGTCCTGACTTATCCTTATTCATAACTATCTTAAAACTTAAGAAGTTGTGACCACTGTTTCCAAAATGTTGTCCCACTGTCAGGTCAGTCACCTGGCCAGGCCCATTAGCCAGCACAAGGCCCAGTATGGCCCCTCCTCTAGCTGGAGTATCCACATATTGTTTCACAAAACCCTCTTGGATGCACTTAAATTCTGCCCCACCTAAGCTTCTTGCTCTAAGGGAGTTCCTGTCAATATTGAGGAAGTTAAAATCACCCAATATGACAACTGTTCTTATTGCATGTCTCCATAATTTACCTACATATTTGTTCCTAATATCTCAGCGGCTTTTGGGAGGCCTATAGTATAAACCTATCAGAGTGATTCCACCCATCTTATTTTTGAGCTGTACCCATATTGCCTCAGTAGGTAAGCCCTCCAGTATGTCCTCTCTGAGTGCAGATGTAACATTCTCCCTGATTAGTAGTGCAACTCCTCCACCTCTGTTACCTTCCTCTCTATCTCATCTAAAAACAATAAACCCTGGAACATCGAGCAGCCAGTCCTGTCCCTCTCTCAACCAAGTCTCTCATCATTGTCCCATGTACTGATCCAGGCTCTCAGCTCATCCACTTTACCTATATTACTCCTTGCATTGAAATAAACACATTTCAGCCCATTGCTACCATCATGTTCATTTACCTGTCCCTGCCTGTCCTTTCTTTCTGATTTACTGGTCTTAATATGTACCTTCCCCTCAATCCCTCCAATTGCTGATCTGCTGTTCTGGTTCCCAGCCCCCTGCCACTCTGAAGTAGTACTAGCAAACCTCCCTGTGAGGATATTGGTTTCCCTCCAGTTTAGGTGCAGCCCATCCCTCTTGTACAGGTCAACCCTGCCCCAGAAGCGGTTCCAAAAATCCAAGAACCTGAAACCCTGTCCCCTGCACCAGCTCCTTAGCCAAGCATTCATCTGTCCTATCTTTATATTCCTCGCCTCACCAGCATGTGGCATTCGTAGTCGCCTAGAGATTACTATCCTCAAGGTCCTGCTATTCAACCACCTTCCTAACTCCCTGTACTCAGTATGCAGGACCTCATCCCTCTTTCTACCTATATCATTGGTACCAATGTGCACAATGACTTCTGGCTGCTCACCCTCACCCTTAAGAATTTTGTGCAACCGCTCAGAGATGTCCTTGACACTGGCACCAGGGAGGCAACACACTATCCTGGACTCTCAAATGCGGCCACAGAAACACCTGCCTGTGCCCCTAACTAGCGAGTTTTCTACCACTATCGCTCACTTGGATCTTGCCCAACCCTGCTCTACAGCAGAGCCAGTTGTGGTGCCACAGGCCTGGCTGCTGTTATATTTCCCTGAGGCTATCCCCCTAATCAGTATCCAAGACGGTATATCTGTTAGTGAGGTGATTAGCTACAGGATACTCCTGCACTTCCTCCCTACCTCTCCAGGCAGTCACCCATCTACCCGAATGAACCTGTGGTGTGACCACCTCCCTGCAACTACTATCTATCACACTTTCTGCCCCCACATGATCCTCAGTGTGTCCAAGTGCCACTCCAACCAAACAATATGGTCTGAGGAGTTGCAGCCAGTCACACTTCCTGCAGACATGGTCATCAGGGACTCTAGACTGCTTCATGATCTCCCACATCTGGCAGGAGCACATCACTGCCCTAACTGCCACCTCTGCCCATTTACACTAACAAAAATAAAAGAACCCTACCTTGCTCACCTTACTCACTGAAGCCCAGTATTCACCTAAACCCACACTTATAACAACAAACAGTACTAACTGGTTACTTAAATTTCAATGCTTAACTTAAACTTAATTAAGGAAGTTAGGGCAATTGAGTACAATTTGCACCTGGATTGCCAATTGTACCAAAGTGGAAACTCTACTTCAATTTGTTTAAACTTCTAGATTTTTGGATTCCCATCCCAAAGTTATATCAGAACGATACCCGTAATAACAATAAAAGCAGCTGTGGGGCAACAAAGCATTTATATGGGGCAGGTTTAAATAAACATGCAGTTCATCTCAGTAAGTGTTAAGAATAATCAAGGATTGATATCCTGCACCCTATTAGTTGGATTACAGGGGCCTAGAGAAGTGAATTGAGGAAATTTTTAAAAATATTATATAACATGAAGTTCTGGAATATGTGAAATTTGAATTTATCATGCAAAACATAGAATACTAAAAGCTACAAAAATCAATGCCATCATTTTCAGAAGACTGACTTTAGAAGGCAAACTACATACTATAACATTCAATGATATGAACAGACAGGCAGTAGCTGGTAACAATTAAAACATATGAGAGGTAAAACTAATAAAGGCATTGTATCCCTGAAAGTGTGATCTGGACACATCTCATTGTTTGCAGAACCTTGTTTTGCATAATCTACTGCCACAGTTCCATACAGTAAAATAATGGCTGTGCTTCAAAAGTACTTGATTGATTGTGCAGCTCTTCGGCACATGTGGGACTGTTAAAGTTGTTCTATCAATGTGTTTTTCTCCTTTAATGGTATTAGAGATAGCTTACAGATATCTACTTTATGTTCATATCAAAACTGAAATAAAAAATTACTGGAAACACTTAGATCAGACAATCTGCAGGGAAAAATAGATGAGGTTAATATCTCAGAAGGGGGCCCTTCAAAACATTTTTCCATGGGTCCATATCCAAAAGATTAATCCATGTGCTTCTCACCACAGGTGCTGCTTGAGCAGCTGAGTGTATCATGCATTTTCTGCTAAGGATTGTTTTTTGATCTACCTCAACGGTTGAAAAACCCTTAAAGCATTGTACAAGAGCAAAACAAACACAAAAAGCTATTCAAATTTTACATCATAGTCATTGTGTAATTCAAATCATGAAATGTTTAGGTTTAGGAATTTTACAAAAATGAACAGCATTTTTGTGGTGATGCACCTTAGAACAATATAGTTCTTTCTCTGTAGTATTTTCTTTAGCATAGTCTGCATCAACTGCATGAATGTAATACAGGTATTAGTTTACAGAGAACTACCTATTTTCACAGGAGGTTTCCTACAATCTGCAGTCAAAACAAAACAATCCAAATTGTTCTAACAGCGAAAATATCAAATTAGAAGTTCGTAAAAGAGTCTTTCCAATTTCAGTCTTTCTGCAAAGTCTTAAAGTAAAACGTAATGCAAGTTTAAAATAAGTTTCAAAAAACTGAAATACATATAACTCGTTTTAAATTATATGTCTCAATTCTATAATCCCTTACTACAGTTCCTTCCGCTTGCCTGGACTGAAACACTGAAGTATGCATCTCACTCTTCTCAACATTTCAAAAGAGGAAGTCAAGATTAAGTAAATTACTGAACACGCTGACTCCAATACGTAACGGATATTTTATTATAGGACAAGTGGGCTTTAAATCCTCAAGATTTTCTAATTCTCTTCTCCCAAACTCTGAAAAGCACCTGATATTGTCATGTCTCAGGATACAATTATATCACGGAAAACATTTTTATTCCAGAGACATAATGATCAAGAAAAAAACAATCAATTCATGTTGCCTACATCCTCTATCGCCCCCATCTTTCGGATTCAGCATCTGATTTCTTACGAAGCTTTTATGACAGAACTAATCTAACTTAATTGCTACAAACAGCATAATCTTGTGATGTTGTTTCAGTCTCGGTGATAAACATGAAATGAAAAGAAATACGTGAAAAGTATTTTTATATTCCCAGCAGGTCCGTGCAGCAGTTCTCAAAACAGCAACATACACGGACTCCTTCCCTCGCGAAAAAAAAAGCGCCGGGGCACAGCATTGCTCCACATTAAAATTATAAATATTTAAAAAATGCAAAAGGCAAAAAAAACCATCACTGGCTAAGCTTGTTCCACCGGCCAGCCCAGCTCTGCAGCAGATCTTAGTTTTAAAACGCGACGGTCAACACGGCTCCTTCTGACAGCACTGTTTCAGGGGCCAGCTCGAACCTCCCAAAATTCCCTCCAGGGTCAATGCCCTCCTTCATCTCTCTCCTCCTTCCACTCCACACCACCCCACCCCCACCTCTCTCTCTTTCTCCCCCCTCATTCCTCCTTCACTCCCTCCATCTTCCTCTAGTACCCCCTCCCTCCATTCCCCTTCCCCTTCCCCGGGTGTTTCTTACCTGTTCCGTCAGCTTGAGGACACCCATTCCTCTGCCGCTCACATATGCACAGGCTCGTCTCGCAGCTGCTCCGATGACGGTTGCGGGTTTAATTCTTTTTTTTAAATTGTTGATTTACTTCTTTCCCCCTCACCTCGCACGGCGGGCGGTCAAAGGAAAAAAAAATACGGTTTTTAAAAAAAAACCGAGAGCGAAGTAACGGCCGTCGGTCGGTCGGTCGGTCGATCGGTCCGTCTGCCCGCCCCTCTCGCGCGCGCCGCTGCCGCCTCCTCCCTACCGCCCCGAGCGGAAGTCGCGCGAGCAGTCCGAGCCCGATAGGATTCCATCAGCTGATGTCATCCGAACGCGAGCGCCGCTACCCCTTCGTCCCTGTGCCCTGGGGCGACTGGGAGCTGGTATCGGACTCGCTCTTCGACAAGACCTTCATTCTCACAAAATCCTTTGCCATTCAATTGTTTGTGGGGTCCGCACATCTCCCCTGTCCCCATCCTCTCTAAACCTCCCCCCCACCCATTCTGCTTTGAAGGTTCGCAGCATCTTTTAAAACGCACGGGTTGCGAACAAAAGCACCCGAAAAGGATGACAGTACAACAAATCCTGGCCACAGGGGCACCGTTTCTGGCCACCGACCTGGAAGGAGCGGGACAAGCGGCAATACGTTAACGTAATGGCACTGATATATAAAAAAACTTTTGCAGACAGACTGCACGTAATTGGAGGCCATTCGGCCTGTCGTGCCCATGCGGGGTTCTATGAAATTATTCCCACTCCCCTACTCTTTCCCCAAAGTGCTGCAAGTTTCTTGTTCCAAGCCTGTAACCCCCCCTTTTAAAAGCTACTATTGAATGTTTCCACCACCTTCTCCAGGTCGTGCAGTCAGAACAACTTAGTGTGATTAAAATCATAATTTTCCCTCTCGCTCTGTAGCCAAAAACCTTCGTTGTGAGTGTCGCTGTAGTTCCTTGCTTTCTTTATTGAAACGGTTATTTTGAAGACAAAAATATCTCCTCAGCCTTCTTCACTCTAAGGAGAGCAATCTTTAGTGTGTCGAGTTAAATCCCTGAGCAAATGTGTTTGCAAACAGGTTTATTTTGTACTAGTTCACGCTCATTTGAAGGACCCTAAAAAGGCATACATCAAATTCTTACAGGAGAAGGGGCATAAATCAGTGATCTGCTTTTAGATTCCGGGTAATTAAGGTTAAATGGCTGTAGTTCCATAGCAGCGCTACTGATTGGACCATTAAGATACTGCAGGGAAAAAAACTGTGACTTAGTGTTTTGCCTATTTGTGTCAACAATCTTCCCTTTGTAAAAAGTATCCATTTCTAGTATAACAAATAATATCTACTGCAATTGATCATGTGAACATGAAAAACAAGAGTTGAAATCTCAAATTCAAGATCTCATTTTGTTATGGGCAAATTAGCATTGTTATCAGTCAGATGGTTAGCTACAATTTGGCCTCAATGTAAGAAAACTAAGATAATTCTTCAACCACAACAGCGGAAATTGCTGGAGAAACTCAGCAAGAAGGGAAATTGGACTCAAAACATTAACTGTTTCCTCTCTACAACTGCTACCAGACCTGCTGAGTTTCTCCCACAATTTCTGTTTTTGTTTCAGATTCCCAGCATCCACAGTTCTTCATTTTATTTTAATTAAGCTAATGTTAGGACACATTTCAAAACAACACATCATTAAAAGCAAGTACTACGAATTTAGCATAGATACAGCGCATTTGCACCTTTGTACTGATTCTAAACTGGCTGGAGGTCCAGGACTACAACCTCATCCACATCATTCGATGTTTGGTAGGCTGCTCAAGATATTGTATTTTGGCTGAGAAAAACATAATCATGATTACATACATAATAGCATTGAATAATACCTTTGAAGCAAAATCAATCGACCGTAAAGCACTTTTGAATGTCCTGTAGTTACGAAAGGCACTAATCATCTACCTTCCCTGATTAAGGCTTCACTTTCAAATTTCTTAGTTTAATTACCTCTAAATATTCGACTTTACAAACTGAAAGTAACGGTCCTACACAAAATAATGTCTAGGCATGCAAAGAACTTTATCCTAACCAAACAGCTAACTTCCGCAACAGTCAAGCAATGCAAGCAAACATATTTCTGTGGTTCCCATAAAAATATCTAACCATGGTTACGATTATTTATTTGTCAGTTATGTTCAGCACCGCATGACAACACCTACACAAAAAATGGACACTAACATTATAGCTAACCATTCTTCCGCTGATTCAAGCAAATGTGAATAGGCTCATATCTGTAATGTTTCTTGTGTATTGGACACACTTTCAAGACAATTTTAAGACATAATTAATAGTTGTCACAGACCAATCACCATAGGAAGTGATCCTATGATTAACAATTACAGAGATACATAATGGATCACAATACATTATTGCTAGATTCTGTGTAAATACAGGACCAATACAGAAATAAACACAGTAATGATAGAATTTGTAAGTTTACAGAAACAAAACTGAAGATGTGGAAATACTCAACAGGTGAGACATCATGTGCTGAGAGTGATACTGAGTTGATGTTTCAGATTGATGAGACTGGACCTGCTGAGTACTTTCACAGTTTTTAAAATTTTATTTTGGATTTCTAGCATGTGGAGCATTTCCAGCATTTTGCTTTGGACTTAGAAACCATCAGTTAATTCATTAGTTAGTATCTCAGCAGATCAAAATTATCCATTGTTGGTACTCAAGTTTGCAAGTCCATTACAAACTTATCTCTGAGTTTGTTTCTGTAATACAATTCCTCACCAGGAGATCTCGAAGACTCATGACAGCACAGTTCAGTACCATTAGAGCAACCCAGCTTTTCCACCACATCAAGGTGCAATCCCTAGTGGCAGATTATAAAAGATCAGCAGAAATATGAACATGCAAAGTTACTGGTTCAGTGACAAACACAGGGCATGTTTCATGCATCAACAGTGATACAATGCAGTCTTTGTTCAGCAGATGATTGCTCCCTCTGGTGCTCACATCAGTTTCACTTTTCTGTATTGTAACAATCCTTCATCTCATTTTAAAAAGTTTTGAAATTATACCCAGCTCATAACTGGTATACTCTTCAAATATGTTGCATATTATATGATAGAGATCACTAGATATTGACCATAGATTTTTGCCATGCATCCTTCATATTGCATTCCAGAATAACATTTTGCCATCTCAGTCACAAGCATTTAACTTGATATTTTCATCCGGGCAAATCATCCACACAAATACTGTGTGTATTTGGGAAGGAGAGAGGAAGAGTGTTCGTCCAGTTTGTAGCCATGATCAAAAATAAATAAAAAATAAAAACAATGTTTCAAGCATTACCCATCATCAGAACTAGATGATGTTACAGATTACTGAGGAGAAATAAAGCAAAGCAGATCAGGAACAGAAACAGAACAACAATTTGCAATAACATAGCACTTTGATGTCACAAAAATTCCTAAGGTGTTGTATGAGTTATCAAAAAAAATTAAGACATCAAACCAAATAGAGATTTACTGTTAAATGTTTGTTTAATGTAATTAAGATATTAGAAAGTAATGTAAGGAAGATAAAGAGGAAGAAAGACTTAGGGAGAGAATTTCAGAGAATGGGGACTATCCATTATCAATTGTTAGACATGAATGTGAAGGATGTGCAAGAAGCCATAATTGAAGGTGGACAGAAACCATGAAGGTTTATATGGCTACAGCAGATAACAATGATAGTGTAGGGTTAATTCAGCGGTATGAACACAAGGATGAAATCCAAAGCTGACGTCAATTGGCTAACAGATGACAGGTGAACAGCACCTAATGACAGTTAGGATTTGGGTCTGAGAGTTGAGTTTTAAATCAGTTCATTGTTACAAATGGTAGAATATGGGAGGCTGGCCAGGCAGCACTGAAATAGTAGACTCTGAAGGCAACTAGGGATTGATAATGAAAACACAAGAGCAGAAAAAAAGAATGAGCAATTTTAAACTGATTTACTGGAGAATAGGTTAACTGACAAGTAAAAATAGCAAATAGTAACAGGAGATATAACAAGATACATTAGAGAAATAAAAGATTTATATGAGACACTGTATCTGTATGAATAATTAAAGCAAGTTAGCTAAGTTGGAGAGAGAGAACAGGCTCCAGTAGGCCTGTTTGATGGAAGAAAATGACTGGTCAAGATTAGATGCCAAGGTTCTCTGCTAGCATTGTACCAAATTGCAATCAGCATCTTAATAACTAATCTGCTCACCATATCTTCTCTACATGTGGTAAAAATGATCTTCATTTGACTAGTAACTGATTTCAAATCGGAGTCTAAAAGTGGTTGAAGTCACTATTCAATAGAATAGTTGAATGGAAAGATGAGTAGATGACCTTTGAGTAAAGTGTAGATAGATCAGAACCAGAATCAAAGTGGAATGGAGAATTAAAAAGTGGCTAGTGACAGGATGTTTAAGTTGCTCTTGTAGATAGAAAGGAAATATTCAGCAAAGCAACTTTTTAGACTAATGTTCAATTTCTCTGGATGTAGAGAAGACTGCATGGTGAAATACAAACATATTTCAGGAAAGCTGAAGAAAAAGAAGAAATGTCGAATAAAATTTTTCTGAGTTACCCAATGAACCATCACAAAGACATTTTAGACATAATTTTACTCTAGTTTATAGTTATACACATTGATGTTTGTCCTTCACCGTTGATAAGAATGCCCAAAATTTCATTTACTGCAGTTTCTTCCTTTTATGAATGATGAATCCTATTTATACTAGGAATGAGTGTTCACAGATTAAGGAGTGGATTCTGGATACACCAGGTTAAGGATTCTATTTTTTGAGTATGTTTCATCTAACTGATGTTTACATTCAGCATCAGAAATTCAATGAACATCTTAGTAGGAGTTTTTTTTCAAAACCATAGTTTATAGTCGAGTAAATTATTCCCACTTAAGGACACCTATTTTTCATTTTGCTTTTAAACAGTTTTTATATCTTTTTTGATGACTACCCAGTTGTCAATGTGCCATAAAAGATGTAAAGATTTGTTCATCACACATTCATACTAGAGTACTTTGCTTTGATGTTTGCAATGAAATACAGCCTGATGAACTCCTGAAGGAGCAAGTTTGGTAATTTTTATTTTTAATTCATGAGCATTTCATGAGCTTTTATAGAGCTGACAAGATTGGGTACAGTGGGTATAGGCGGAGAATTGGAGAGACCTGGGGAAGTGGAATAAAGAGTGAGGGCTAGGTGGCCAGTTATCCACAGAACTAGGCTGGTGTCCCATTGAACATAGATGGGCCTTTTAATCTGATTTTAGTTTCTGGCTGTCTCCATTCCCAATTCGAGTCTGCTTCAAGAGGCAATGGCCCCAACCCCACCCT